TGAAATCAATGATATTGTTCTGTAGTTTCCACACTCAGTTGGGTCGCCCTTCTTTGGGATGGGAACAAATATAGACCCCTTCCAGTCAGTTGGCCATGTGGTTGTTCTCCAGATTTCTTGGCACAACTTGGTGAGCACATCCACGGCAGAACTGCTTAAAAGGCATATCTGATTGGGTATTATTTGTATAACAATAGTCCAGAATAAGAGCTGCATAGTAAAGTGGACTGTGGGGGTAATTGTACAACAGTTAAATGATTTTTTTTTTCAAAGAGAAAATGTGCAACAAGGAATGAATGGAAATCCAGGTTCTCTATAAACGTTCATTAAAATATCAATTAAAAAATATCATAGGCTGCCCAAAAAAGAAACAAATTTCTGTTGGAACAAGTACGGTCAGAGTGCTTCTCAGAAGCAAGATTGATGATATCTTGTTTCACACTTTTAACGTGTTGCCAGGAGTGGCCACTCCTTGGAAGGGAACTTGAAAAGCTTGAGGGTCAGAATAGGAAGGTGCACAATCAGATGAACTGATACAGTGATGACAGCAGTGAGCACAGTGGAGGTTGGTTGAATGGCTCAGTTTCATTCTGTTCTAGGTAGTGTCCCTAAGAGTTGAACTTGTCAACCCCTAACAACAGCCCTGACTGTATACAGTAGTCATCTGGGGAACTTGGGGAAGGGGTGATTTAAAAACAACCAAAAAAACCAACCCCAACTCCGATTCTTACTTAGGTGGTCTGGGTGAGGTTTGGGAGTAGCTCTACTGTACAAGCTCCCCAGGTGATTGTTCACTGGAACACATAGCAATAAGTAAAAACAATAAAATAAGGGGTGGGGGGGGGAAGAAAGAAAAATGTATTGCGTTGGGCAAATCTTCTGTCAAGGACTTCTCAAAGTGCAAAAGGGCAAGGCTTTCTGTTTAAAGGCTAGTGTATGCCTCATTGACATCATGGAAATTTTAGTTGCTTTGTATAGATCTGAAAGTTTCATAATGAATAAGGAAGCCTGAAGAAGAATCAATGCATTTGAATTATATTAGAGTATTTAATATCTCATGAACTGCATAAAATCCCCCACCCAAGCATGTCTGTCTTGGAGAAAGTTCAGCCAGGATACTCCTTAGAAGTGAGGATCGAGAAATTTTATCTCACATACTTTGGGCATATTGTCAGGAGGAGTCAAGTCTTCGAAAAAGACATCATACAGGCAAAAGTCGAGGGTTAAAAGTAGAGAGGGAAGCCCTCGATAAGATGAATTGACAAAGTGATTGCAACAATGGGCTTGAACAAGAGACTGTGAGGATGGCAAAGGATACGGTGAGGTTCAGATCTGTTGTTCTTAGTGTCAAATGTCTTTGCTACGAGTAGTAGTGGACTCTAGGACACCTAACCTATATACAGTTGTTGCTATGTGTTATTAAGTTGGAACTAACTCATAGCTGACTCTCTAGTGGGTTTTCAGAGGCAGGAGGAGACTGCCTGTCCTCCTCCCCCAGAGCAGCTAGTGGATTTGAAACACACACACACACACACACACACACACACACACACACACACGGGGAGATAGTTATCCCAAGAAAATTGGTCATGTGCTTGTGCTTGTAGAGGTGAACAAGTCTCTAGTTTGTGAGTTAGACTCAGAGGAGAGGCATCTTTCGAGGCTGATAAATTCAAGGTCAGCAGGTAAGGCAAACTGTTAGTTCAAGTCCAAAGAACCAAACCTAACAAGCCAGATGGTGCAAAGCTAGCTAGCTTTGTCAGAACACACACACACACACACACACACACAGTACACAAATATACCACACACACACACACACACACACACACACACACACACATATATAGTGCAGGTAACATGCTTATGGATACCTGTTTAACATCTGATCAGGTCTGTGGCCTGATTTAGGATATCATATCACACTCAAATCCTTTTATAACAAATGAGGGAAGAATATCAGACTTCATTATGGGGAATAATTACATCATACAGAACAGTCAAGCCAGACAACTACTGCCAAGTTAATACCCAGTTATCAGGCATTACAGGAAGCCTAATTTCAACCTCTGCCTTTATCTCTCCATGGTGGCCTTGCCCCTGAGTGCTTAATAACATGACCACATGCCTAATAACACCTTCCAAGACCCTATTTCTAAACAAGGTTACAGTGATAAGATCCAAAGATTAAAAAATCAACCTATCTTTTGGGGGGATATCATACTGCTAGGGTTAGAATTAGGTAAGTCTGGCAATTTGAGGCCAAACTTACTAGTCAACAGAAGTAAAATTATTAGTCAATAGAAGTCAAATCAAGTGGCCAAACCAATCAAAACCAGAAAATCAGTAACATTACACCAGAACGACCTATTTAGTGTTTTAGGCATATGAATGATGTCAAGAACAATGGACTGGAACCACCTATCAGATTTTTAACTATCTAAAATATCACCTTATTGGTCCAAACTCAAGCCCCTTAGCATGCCCAATAAAGGAAGCCATAATTAACCCACAACAAATCCAACAAAAGGTCTTTCTCCATTGCTGTCTTTACTTCTGGAGAAGGAACTGTTTCATTCTCCAGTGACATATCTTTTCTAATAAAACTGTCTTTAATCTTGTATCTTCGCCTCTCTGCTCAGCCTACATCAGGGATTATTTTGAGCAGGACATGCAACATAAAAAAGGCTATCCCAGGGAGCTCTGGTGGCCTAGTGGCAAGAAGCTGCACTACAATCCCAGAAGTATGCGTTTCCAATCCACCAGATGCTCTGCTGGAGAAGGAGGGGCAATTTCCTCCTGTCCCAGGTGGAGATCAACAACTACTACTATCCAAGGTGGAGATCAAGGGATGATTTATCTATGGCTAATCCTTCCTGCTGTCACCCCTTTGGTTAAATTATTTGTCTGGGCAAAGAAGGCTGAAACAAGGCATGACCTCAAGGCAATGCAGTCCACAAGGAGGGAGCCTTGTTGGTATAGTGCATAATGTAATGGGCTGCTACTTTAAAGTTCAGTACTTCAAACTCACCACTCTTTTCTTTGGGAGAAAGATGTATAGCAGCATGGGTAGATAGACAGAAGACTTCTTATCTAAAATATTTAGTCTCAGAAAGTCCATAGATTTAGATTTTGGATTACACAACCCATAACCACTGCTTATTGTACTGATTCCAATTTGCACAAGCAGTATCTCTGGATCTTAGTTATCTCATACATTAAAGAAAAAAACAAACCCTTCTTTAAAAAGGGAGAGGGGTTGTGCTATTAACCCAAAGGCTTGCCTTTCTCCTGGTTCAAATACACCACCGCTTCTGAGTTCCAGTTACTCATTGGTTTGTTGAAAGAATTACCTAAAATATGCTTTAAATGTAAGCCACCTGGAACAGTGTTTGGCACATAGTAAGTTAAGAGTATTTGTTGCTTTACAAAGATAGCTTTGGCCTTTCCTTTGATAGGCTTTCGATGGCCCCAGCCAGACCTCACGTTTTTTAATGTGTTTATCTTTAAATTTTATAGTGGTTTCTTTACAAAGTTCGTATACATTCTTTTTCACACCAGATCTTTCCCCATCTCTCTTCACCCATCAAATTGTGCGACCCTATGACCACACTTTTAAGTTAATATTAGTTAAGACATTAACAGAAAGTCATGGGTTTTCACAGGCGTGCGGATTTTTAAAAATAATCACTAGCAGGTATGTCGACCATTCTCTCTAAAACACATCCAGAGACTACACAAATCTGTCACGTCCATCCATCAAAAAAACACCAAAGCTGAAATGTGGGCTCCCGAGTGAGGAACAGTGATGAGGAGCACCTGGGGTGGTCCAGAAAGTTTAAGAGAAAAACAAAACGGGCTTCTCCCCGCCGAAGCCATCATGAGGAATGAACACTAGTCTTTTGTGAAGGAAATTCGGAAAAGAGCTAAAAAGCCTATTGGGGATTGAGGAGTTCGGGCGGGAACGAAGGCGGGAGCCATGGAGAAGGCGGCTAGCTGGGAACAGAGCGGCACCTCGCCCTTTCCAAGCCCGCGTCACGCCTCGGGGTTTCCAGGTGGGCCCTAGGCTTGTTGGGGAGCAGGGCTCCTCCAGCAGCCGGACGGAGGTACTTCCTTTCCCGCGTTTTGAGGAGTAAAGAGACCGCTAGGCGCGTAGTAGGAAGCGGGAATAGGAACTCAAGGAGTTTGAACGCGGCCCTGAACAGCCGCTGCCGGAGCCCGCAGGCCAGGGGAGACGACTTTGTTGCTAGGTAACTGGCCCGAGCCCGCCCCCCCCCCGCGTTGCTAGGAGACAGCGGGGGGGGCGGCGGCGGAGCGGGCTCTACGTGCTGACGCTAATTGTATATGAGCGCGAGCGGCGGGCTCTCGGGTCTTTTTTAGCGCCATCTGCTCACGGCGCCGCCTCCTGCTCCTGTCGCCGCTGCCTCCCTGAGTCACTGCCTGCGCAGCTCCGGGCCGCCTGCCTCCGCGTCCTAGCCTCCGGTAACTGATGAGGGCCTGGACGGGAAGGGAGCGTGGAACAGGCCGAGTGGCCGGTGTGGGAGGGCGGAAGGAAGCGACAGAACCGGGAACTGGGGCCGCGGGCGACCGGGCCTCTTCCCTTCTCGGCCTTAGAGTTTGCGAGGCGGCACTAGGGTCGGCCGGGCGGCCCGCTCATCCTCCAGGGACGGCAGAGGAGGACCTGGAGATCGGTGCGGCTTGCTGGAGAGCCGGCGAGGCCTGGGAGGGCCGGTGGCCGCGCTGCCCTGCGCCGACGTTGCCGGAGTCCCACCGGCTTCTTCGCGCGCAGGGAAGCGAGGCCGCGGCGGGGCGTGGGCGGCAGCGCTTCAGAGGAGCGAGGCTGGAGCAGAGCGACCCTCCACCGACCCCCGTATTTGGCCCTCAAACCTTTCCCAAAGGGAGGCCGCGCAGGACAGGGGGAGGAAAGAACGGCGGAGACTGCGAATTCCGACGGGAGGGAGGGAGGGGCGGTGGGGCAGGCCCGGGGCCCCGGAGCCCGCAGGCTCTCCGCCCACTGGGAGGCGGTGGCTGTGCGGGAGGGGGAACCCCGGCGGCTTCCCTCGACACGTGGTAAGGAGCCGAGTGGCCGCGGGCTGCGCCTGGTGGGAGCCCAGGTCTGGGCTGGCTGGATTTGTATGAAGGTTGTAAGGGATGTGCAAATTAGCAAGCACTTGCAGTCCGTGGGTTTCAAAACTCTGCTTCTCTCTGGCCTCTGCTTTCGTTGCTCTCCAGAGGGAAATAACATTAACGTTGTACGGATCAAGGACTTAGGTGCTAGGCTTTGAAAGAACTGCTAGTTTGTTATTAACATTAAAAGGGACCTCTGGTGGCTTAGTGGTAAGGAGTGGCACTGCCCGCACAAACATGAGGTTCAAGTCTACCAGCTGCTCACTGTGGGAGAAAGATGGGCAGTCTCCTCCTTTGCGATTTACTGCCTCTGAAAACCCACTTAAGTGTTAGCTGTGAGTCGGTTCTGACTCCATGGCACATAACGTGACATAATACAGAAGCTGAGTCATTTGTTAACATATGAAGTGTTTGTTAATGGCTCCAGATTTTAAAGGGGGGGGGGGTCTGTTGGTTGATCTTTTATCAGCTTCAACCTCAGAAGTACCCTTGGCTTCTGTGTTCCGAGGCAAAGCTACAGCACTTTACCCTAGTTATGAAGTGTTGGTTTGTTTTTGGGTCCCGCCCCCCCATGGGGCTGCTTAACCTCAGACATGTGTATTCTGTGAGTAAATGTCTTTGACTTGTTGAATTTTCCTCAAATGTCAGGAGAAGTTAAAGGGACTGCAGCGCCTACGTGAGAGCAACTGGGAAAGAATCTCTTTGTGTATGTATGTGTGTGTATATCACTTCGTCTAAGTTAATGTAAAAATACCTACAGTAGTCATAATAGTTACTGGTCATACACAGAAATACACACACAAAGTGACTGTACAACAGATCATAATCTTGTCTGACCCTAGGCCATCCTCAAAATCTCTTGATGTGCATAAGCCCATTGTTACAGTCACTGTCTCATTGGAGGCCTCTCTCTGACTTTTCCAAGCATGACACCCTTTTCGAAGGACTGGTTTCTCCTGACAGCATGCCCAAAGTATGTTTATTGGAGTGGAGACTGGCTAATCTCTCAGGAGCACTACTCTGGCTGCACTTCTCAGGCAGATTTATTCTTTTGGCCGTCCATGGCATATTCAGTACTCTTTGCCAGTGCCACAATTGGTCTTCCTTATTGACTGTTGAAGCATGCTGGGTAAGATGACACAAATGATTTGTGTATGTACCTCTTAAGGTAACAATTGGTTACTTAAACACAGTGACAAAAGATAAGAAAATATGCTTCTATCAGATAGACAGCCAAGAAAAACCCTAAGGCCCAGTTCTGCAATCTGGGTTTGCCATCAGTTGAAGTTGACTTCATTTCAACTCAAATCAGCCCTCCATTGAGGTTCCTAGGTCATAGATTACATGGGAGAAGATAATGTTTCTACCACAAAACAACTGGTGGATTTGAGCCATCAGAAAGAGGTCAGGCCCTTGGGTTGGGGTGCACTTTTCCACAGACCGTGCCACCAGAGCTCCCTCCCTATACAACAGACTGTATGTATTTTCTATACATGATCATAAAGAGAACTTATTAAAAATATAGGTTACCACAATAGCACGAACTTCCATGGTAGCAAGAGTGCTTATCAGGACCACAAAGTACTAAGTCTGGCCTGATTTTAAAGATTTTGTGTGTATGCATGTGTAGGTAGTTTTGCCTGAAAATGTGGTTCACCAACATTTTTAAGGGATCTTTGGTTAGAATGTAGCATTTTAAAGGATCTGGTTAGAATGTAGCATTTTAAAGGATCTTTGGTTAGAATGTAGCATTTTAAAAGATCTGGTTAGAGTGTAGCATTTTAAAGGATCTTTGGTTAGAATGTAGCATTTTAAAGGATCTTTGGTTAGAATGTAGCATGTTAAAGAATCTTTGGTTAGAGTGTAGCATTTTAAAGTATCTTTGGTTAGAGTGTAGCATCCTGAGTTGGCACAGGGAGAATTCTGTTAGCTTTGGTGTCTGCTGTTGCCAGCAGGCAAGAAATCAGACGTGTTGTGTTGGAGAAATCTGTTATAAAGGATATCTCCAAAGTGATGAAGAACAAGGATGTCAGTTTAAAGACCAAGGTACTAAGTAGCTGATCTAAGCCATTCAGTTACTTTTTTGCTTCTGAAAGTTTGACAGTGACTAAGAGTGACTGGAGAAGGATCAATGTCTTTGAGTTGTGGTGATGGAGAATAGTTCTAACCTATCAACTTCCAGAATAAACCAGTAAGTCTCTTGGAGGAAGTACAGCCAGTGTACTCCTTCAAGGCAAGGATGATGAGACTTCGTCTCACATATTTTGGGCATGTTGTCAGGTGGGGCTATGGAAAAGGACATCATAATGAGGAAGATGAGGGTCAGTGAAAGAGGAAGGCTCTTCATGAGATGGATTGACACAGTGACTACTGTGGGCCTTAGCATGTCGGAGATTATAAGGATAACGCAAGATAGGGCAGGACTGAGATTCTGTTGTTCATGGGGTTGCTGTGAATCAGGTGGCTTGATGGTACATAATAGATTGATGTTCTTGCTATTAGATTTTTTTCATACATTTAAAAATGGATTCCTTGAGTTAGGATTTTTAAGGCTTCCTTAATTGATTGATAAATCTTCAAAATCTGTAACAGATTCTCAGATATTTCATCAAGTATTGTATCTCACTCTCTACATCTAGAACTTTTTTTTTTTAAATTGCCATCTTGTTTGGGCTGACTCTCCAGTCAGTTTTCAGAGACTGTAAATCACACTGGCTCATCTTTCTCTCACAGAGCATCTGGTGGATTTGAACCATTTGCCTTTGGGTTGGCATCTTAACTTCTGTAAAATGAGTGTAGGCAGCACTTGGACAACCAAGTCTGACTTTTACTAACTTCACAAAAGGGAACTGTCTTCATTAACAATATCCACAGTACAAAAATAATTCCTTTAAGATCAGACATGGTCTCTTACACTCCTGCACCTACTTCTACAAATTACAACCCCAATTTTTACTACTCTACTGGGTATGAAATCCATTGCAGTGACTCCACAGACTACAGAACCATAACTTCTGTAAGGAAGTTAACAGGCTGTAATTCTAGTTGGCAGCAGGATACAGTCCCCCAGTTCAGAGGGCTTCTCAAGTGATAATCACAGGTCCTTTGACCTTCAGCTTCACAATTTAGGCCAGTGTCACAAAATTCCTTTAGTCCTGCCAGTTACGGCATCTTGCCTGGCAGGCTTTTGTGAAGGGCTCTCAGTGAGGCAATAGAACCAAGTCAGCCCTGTCTCAAGTCAATGTCCGATTCTCTGCTGAGGCAACTGTTCTCTTACGGAGATCCAGGTCTGGCCTGGAAGGATGGATGCATGCTGCTTCATCTTGTTGGCTTTGAGATTCCCAATTTCTGTAGCTGAATCCACTCAAATTAGTGGTGAGACTAGCCAGTCCCCTTGTGCCCTATTTGCATGGCCCTCCCATCCATGTAGCACAGTCAGTGGCTAGGAAAGCCATTTTGAACAATAAACCCTTCTCCACAACTTACTACTAAGCCACCAGAGCCCCCTAGAACTTAATCTTTGCTATATTCTGGAACGTGCTTTCCTTTGTCATCTTCAACTCAGTACTTTTCAGTTTCAACTATATCTAATCTAATAAACCTGTTTTTATTTTTGATTCTTGCAGTTCTGTTTTTCTAAATTTAGCATACTGTCTTTAATAGATGTTTCTTGGAGATAAATGTATTTGCCTTTAAGGTAGAAATTTGCTTATAATCTGTTAGGCAGTTTAATAATTTAAATTTAATGCTTCGAATCCTAATACTAGAATTGCTCTGTTGTTTTCTGTTAACCTTTTTGTACTTGAAAATGATAGAAAATTATATGGGCTATGTAGTGAATGTTCTTTGCCTTCACATCTACAGATTCTGAAGAACACTCCCAAGCAGAAACTAAACTCAGCTGGAGCTTTTGGTGATAATAGAGAAATTGAATTCTGTGATTCACCACCACCTTGACTTGATTACATTAAAAGGTGAAATGCCAAACAAGTAAAGTATGCTGAGATTGAAGTTGTCCTCAGGCCCAAAGTAGCTTCTTTCTCATCCTTATTCTTCTGTTTACTGTTTTGAACTAGTAATGCCCAACTGTTAACATCTTGACTCTTGTGATATTTTACCAAGTATGGTGGCATGTTTCCCCCTATAATTAGTCTTACTGGTCTATCCTATTAATGATTCTTTGTTTCTTAGTGCAATCTGATTATCTGAGAATCACCTACCTCAAAAGCTGAGCTCTTATTTCAAATGCGGATTTTTGGATCTTGCCCTTTCAGATTTGGGGATGGGTTCCAAAGTTAAGTTCCAACATTTTTTAACTGGCAAACTATTAGATAGTTCCGTATTCCTATCATCAGGTTACTCTTCGGTTTAGGCTTCAAACTCATTTTGTATCTGACTAATGAGGATTTTAAGACTATAAATATTTACAGAAGTGCATGTATCCTCTTTCTCCCTTGGAGTGATTGATGGGTTCAAATAGTAGACCTTTTGGCTAGCATGGAGCATTAGCCACTGTACCATCAGAAGTCCTATATTTACTAAAATTAAAGGAATTTCATAATCCTGGACCTGTGTTAAGAATGATTAAAATGAAATGGAGGGCAAAGTAGCTATGAGGGATTATCAAATGTATGTCATAGATACCTGAGCTCATTTTCCTAGGCTATTCTTTCTGATGATGGCCTGATGAGTAAGAGATTGGGCTGCCCATTTAAGGGTATATGGTTCAAATCCACCAAACTGCTTTAAGGGATAAAGATGGACAATACCCTCCTGTGCTATTTACAGCCTTTGGGAACCCCCTGGAGAGTCAGGTGCCAGTCTGTTCTGACTCAATGGCACATAATAATAGTTTTTTCTTAATGTTTCTGGTATATCATTTCAGAAATATAAGATTTTATGTGTGTTCGCATGCACACATATATTTAAAGTAGTCCAATGGCATGTTGACATATCTTTTACCTTGCTTTGGTCCTTTCCCCCATATCAACTCAAATCTTTTTCATTCCCTGAATACAGAAGCTTACATTACATGTGTGTGTGGGGGGGTGCATGTTAGAAAAATACATACACCTGTGAGCAATTTCTACAGTTATTCAGTGCGTATTTAATAACTTATGAAAATACTCTATTATCATTTACTTAAATTATGCTGCTAAGCAGAAACTCCCTTGCTTATTATGTTATAATAGATTGCACTGCTAACTTACCAGTTATAATTCAAGTCCACCAGCCTCTTGGCAGTATGCTCCTGCTTAAATTTACAGCCTTGAAATGCAGTGAACGTTTGCTGTGAGTCGAACTTCTCCCGTGGCAGTGGATTTAGTATGGCGTTATTTGCTGTTTGTGCATGACTGAAACAATCCAGAGGAAGAATCATTAAGTTGGGCTTTGAGCCAACACTTAGGATATGTAGCGCTGCTCTGTAGTTTACAAGGCTGTAAATCTTTAAAGAGCAGTTTGCCACATCTTTGACTTAACACAGCAGCTTGTGAACTGCAAACCTTTTGGTTAAGTTTGGTGATTTGTCTTTGATAAGGTTATAGTATATCCAAGGGGAAAAAAGAATATTTTCAAGTTCATTAAAACTGATATATATGAGGACATCATTTCTCTTTTTTTCCTCCCATTGGTAAATGTTAGGTGCCAGCCACTCAGAACCAACTCATACTTGACACTCTCCACGCTTTTTCAGAGACTCTAAATTGCACATATTTCTCTTGAGCAGCTGGGAGATTTGAACTGTGCTTTTTTTTTTTTTTTTTTGGCAGTGCAAATCCATAATACTAGGCAGCCGTAGTTCCTATAGTTGAGTAGTTGGAGAACGCATCTCATAGCACCCCTGTGGACAGTGGATCTGAATCCTGTACTATCCTCATCAAGTCTCCTCTACTTGAGTATATTTTTCACACTCACCCTGTCAGTCTTTCTTATTGAGGGTCTTCTTTCTTCACTGTCTCCGTGTTTCTAAGCATGATGTCCTTTTCCAAAGACTGGCCTCACTGTCCAGAGTATGTGAGATGAAGTTCCACTATTCTTAACTTTAAGGAGCAACATTGTTCCACCTTCTATAAGCCATTTTTGTTCTTTTGTCAGTCCATGGGACATTCCATACTCTTCTCTAGCATTGCACCTCTAAGATATCAGTCCATCTTCATGCCTATTCTTTGCCCAACTTTCAGAAGCCACAGTAAATTGAAAAGACTATAGTTTGGATCAGGTACACCTTGGGCTTTCAACTGACATTGTTACTCTAGCTCTTTGAAGAGATCCTTGACAGCAGATTTTCCCAATGTAACACCATCTTTTGATTTCTTAACTGCTTGTATCAAGGACATTGATTGTGGATGCAAGTAAATGGTATATTGGCACTATCTCTTCTCCAGCTTCTGTGATTTTGCCTGTTAGCCTAGTGGTGAGGATACTTGTTTTCTTGATAAGATGTTGTCTATTCATATTGCAGGCTGTAGTTTTTTTATCTAGCCTTTCAGGTCATCCTAGCTTTTAGCAAGCAAGATTGTCTGTGCAACATAGGTTGTTGATGAATCTTCCTTCAGTCCTGATGCCTTATTCATCATAAAGTCCAGCTTCTCAAATGATTTGCTCAGCATCCAGATTGAATAAGTTTGGTGAGAGGTTGATGGACACCCTTCTTGATTTTAAACTATTTTAAACTGCCCTTGTTCTGTTCAAACAACAGCTTTGTGGGTTGTTCAGTGGTCTAGGTAGTAGTCCATTATATGTATATGTTGTATTTATCCATCCTTTTGTTGATGGACATTTTGGTTGTTTTCACCTTTTGGCTGTTGTGGGAAGTATTGCAGGATATAGACTTTTGTTTGCTATTCTGCCATGATTTAGGAATGGGATTGCTGTGTGATCATAAGGGGTAATTATTTTCCACTGTGCCTGGCACATTCCCACTGGTAATAAATAAGTTTCTTTTTGTCCATAACCTTGACAATACTTTTTCTGGGCTCAGATTCTTTTAAAGGTAGTAAATGATTGTAACTGCTGTAGGTAAATTTGTGTGCTAGTGTTGTGTACAGTGCAGTGTTTTGAAAGAAAGTAGGAATGATTGCTTTTTTGAGTTTTGTTGTCTGGGCAGTTTGAGGAAACAGACTTTAATGAAATAACACTTGTGGTGGAAAAGGATTAATGTATATACAAGCAATAAATACGGTTTAGCTAAAATTAGCAGGTTGAAGGCATCTCAAAGAAGTAAAATTTCAAGGTGGAGAATGTGCTTGGAAGAAATTGCCAGGCAAATGTGGAAAGCAAAGGTCTTTGGTTCTTTTACATTTTCCTGAATAAATGCCAAAAATGAGTAACTTAAGGTGAGTAAATTAAAGGCTAGAAATAGTGAAAGTTTTTTGCCATATTTTTAATCGATTGCTCTAACCAGTCATAGGCACACGAGCTGTATTAAAAATATACTTTCATCACAATTTTCCCTGAATTAAAAGAGCATCTTGGGAGACTTCACAGAAACTAGTATTGCACTTTAAAATATTTATTAAAATTGTTTGCTGAAGATTTTAATATTGCCTAGTATAAAGTTATAAATGCTTGCTGTTGTGTGCCACAGAGTTGGAACCAATCATAGCTGACCCTCTGACAGGTTTTCAGAGGCATTTAATTGCACTGGAGGAGATTGCCCATCCTTTCCAGACAGTAGCTCATGACCCCATACTGTGGAGCTTCTTGCCACTAGGCCACCAGAGTGCCCTAAATGCCTATTAGGAATTATTTTAACACAATTAGAAAAATGTATACTAGGATGTATTTGAAAGATACAACTTTTCTTAAAAAGAGCACATAATCTACATTATTTTTGTTGTTGTTGTTGGGGTGGTTGCATCCATTACAGTTCAGTGACTCCAAACAATAGATCTGAACCTTGCTTACTCCTGCACCATTCTCAGCTATCTTGGCTACACTCCAGACTATTGTGATTGTCACAGTGTCAGTCCATCTTGTTGAGGATCTTCAATAATACCCAAATATTAGCACTTGCAGTAACATTTTTTATATAAGCATGTTAGTGTGTGTAATTCACCACAACATTTTGTGGGTTAAAAACTTTTATTGTAATGTGGAGTTGGAGATGTTAATCTGTGTATTATATATAGTATCCAGCTGTTTTTATGTCTGAATAGGACATTTTAAGTTTGCTGTAAAAGCTTATTCTGTAACTTTGTCTGAGAATAACTTATAAGAGGCTGTTTAAGCCTTAGTTTATTCAAAACTGACCTGACTGTATATGACCATGTCCATTGGCATTGTTTTGAAAAATTTTGACTTCAAATATGTTTATTGCTCTTTAAGAAATTGTATCCTTTTTTTTTTAAAAAAAAACTAATATTTCTCTCCATAGATATTTGGAGTTCTTAAAACATGGCAGACATTGACAAGTAAGTGACAGTTGATTAATTTTTTTGGGGGGGGGGTTGGGTTGGTTTTTGCTTTGGGTTGTTTTCCTCTCACATTTGACATAATTTTTTACTGTGGTTATGTTAATAATAGTACTGATTATTATAAAAATACTCAATACTTAACCAATGTTTAAAATTTTTAGAAAAATACTGAGCACAGTAATGAAATAGTGTGACTTTAACATGTATCTCTAATGAGTATATAAATATATGACATGTATACGTGGAATTTAAAGACTAGTGAAATTATGTAAGTGAAAAAGAACATTACTATTTTTTCCCTTCTCAGTTGTATCCTTTACTATTCTAGAGGTGTAACCACTATCCTCAGTTTTGTTTAATTCTTTGGGTTTTCTGTAGTTTGATATCCTGTAAACACATTATGTTTAATTTTGAAGACCCGAGTAACAATCAGACAATCAGGGAAACGGCAATATTACCATTATTAGATGAAGGTTCAATGAGTGAAAAAAAGAAACCAAAAAACTTTTTGGGTCAGATCTCTCTTAGAGAAGTCACTAGGCAATGTCACATTTAACCAGTTTAGAGTCGGGAAGGGTTATATTATAGAATGAGCTGCACTGCTGGTTACTTAGAGTTTTAATAATAGCTGTTTAGACAGCAAGACCTACAAGTGAGAAGGCAGGAAACTTCTTTAGTATAAGCTCAAAATACCTGTATAAATAATCTGAGCCAAGCCTTCCGAACATGCTATGCTGTCTTCATAAAAGAAAGACAAACAGTGGCTCTCCAAGTCATTGCCTCCTGCTTCACCTTGATCTCGCAACTATTGTGGAATCTACTGTCTTTCTGAGGCTTCCTTGTGCTACTCCTATGTTGAGTTTGTTATATATATATTCTTACTTGATTCTTTACCACATTTTTGAAAAGTTGTAAAGGAACAATATCTTCATGTGGCATGACTGCAATGTACTCATGCTTCATAATTTGGGTATAGATTGTAGTTTGGAAATAATTTTTCTTTAGAATTTTTAAAGTCTTCCCATGCTTCCAGTGTTGCTATATTGAAATCTGAAGAATTCTGAAAGCTGCTCTGAAGTTTTGAAATTTTCACAGTAATCTAATTTTATCCATTATTTTAGGTACTCAGTGGTGGACTCCTTATTTCTGGCAACTTTCTGTTTATTTTTCTGTCTCCTTTCTCTGGAATGCATATGTTACATGTTACACTTAAATTCTAATTATATTTTGTCCTGTTTTTCACCTTTGTCTTTTTACTCTCTTAATTGCTTTCCATCTTTGTCTTTGCTCTTCGGGAAACAAGGAAGAAACTGTCAACTATTGTGTTTTAAAGTTTTCATCATGTTTTGGCTCCCAAGAACTGCTATAATGTCTGAATTTACCAGTTTTATAGCAGTCTGTTCTCATCTCTTGATAGAATGATAGCTCTTGTCTAGATGTTCTTTCTGCCTTTGTAGTCTGATAATTCTTAACTTTTTCTATCCTCTTGTTTTGATCACAATGTAAGATAGCTTTCTCAACCATGGTGCAGTAAGTTGGTTGTCTGCTTTTTAAGATTGGTTGGTCTTGGGGCAAGTTGTATGTTTAAGAAAAGGATTAATTAAGAAATTTGTGTGTTTAGGAGTGAGGTTTATCAGTTTGGGATTTTCCTATAAGTCATTAATTTGAGAAATAATTGCAAAATATTTCTTTTTGGGCTGGTCAGATTTTCAATTGAAGAGAATTTCTGGGTAAAGATCTGAGTGAAGACAACTAGATAGGAATCTCTTATTGCTGGTTGCTATCAAGAAGACCTGAAGTCTTTCTGTAACTGTTGTTGTTTCTCAAAGTTGATAGAGTTTCCAGAGGCATGTTATTTAGGAACTGGATGCCACTCCTGCTTCTAAACATGTCTTAACCTGGGAGCGCCATCAAATACTGTTCACCATGGGTAACCGTTATGGTATTCACACCCCATTGGAATAGCGTTCAGCATCATAGCCATTCCAGGTTACCTCAGTACAGCAAATTGACAGACCAGTGCTGCACACTAGGCCCAAGGGCCTAACCAACCTTTAAATACAAAGCCCTCCAGGAGGTGGTATTGACTCTTAGCAACAGGCTTAAATCAAAACCACACATTTTCCACATGGCCTTCAACCAAAACTAGAGAGCCTACTTTCAGAGTAGAACTGCTGCTGCCCCAGTCTCATTTTCATCTTTTGTTCTTGTTAACTGCCCTACAGTCCAGCACTCAGAAAAAAAAGAACGAAACCTTGTTCTATAATGGTCATCATTTCTCTATGTTCATACACTTTCCAAGGCATGTGATGTGGTTTAGGAAGTAGATGCCACTCCTGCTTCCAAACCTGAATCAATCTGGGAACTTCACCAAACACTGCCTATCATGGGTAACCATTATAGTGTTTGACACACCCATGGCACAGTGTTCAGCATCACAGCAAATTCCTTCAGAACAGTAAATAGAATCTTTGATGTAATTCTTTCTGGTCCTCTAGTCTCAGTCTTTAGTATTACCTTCTCCAGGAAGAAACTGCCATAGTTTTTCTAGAACAGGGGAAGAGAGACCAAGGATTTAACTGTTTGGCTCTTGTGTGTCAGGAAGTTTGAAAATGGTGCAGGATAGAACAAGGTTGAGATACTTTGCTTATTGGGTCGCTATGAGTCGCTTTCGATGGCACCTAACAACAACAACCTTTAGGGAACTTCAGTGGCTTTAGGGGTAAGGCATTAGCACTGCAGACACGAAAGTGTACAGTCTTCTGGTGCCATTAACTACCTCTGAGAAAACCCACTGGAGGGTTAGCTATGGGTTGATTCCGACTCCCTGCTTATAGTAACAACTTTTAGAATTATATACAGCCATTTCTTGTCTTTTAAAAGATGCTATTGTTAATAAATTGGAGTAATTTTCAGCTCTTCCCCAAAGCTAGCTTGGAATTTAACTTTCATTGAAGTCTTTTATCATTTGTTTTCCAGTGTCAAAAATTGTGATGTTCCTGTTTACTTGTTTAGTTTTGTTTTAAAATCTAAATTTATGCAACAATGAGTGAATGAAAACCCAAAATCTCTGTAAATGCTCATTAAATTTAATAATAATAAAAAAATAAAATCTAAATTTAGTGGGGCTTTTGGAAGATGAAGATGTTCAATCTAATGCCATCCTAACATGGAACTTTTTTTTAACACTTAAAAAAATGATAACTTGGTTGTATAATCCCCATTTGATGATTTGGGGTGGTTTGTTTCTTGTGTTTTGTTTGGTTTTAATATCAGTCTGGGTTAATAGTCTCTTGTTCTTTAAAAGAGGAATTGACAGATTTCTCCTTAATAGGTTTAATGATAAATATTTTGAACTATATGGTCTTTGTACTCATTTACAAGTCAGCTGTTGCAATGATTAAACTAGCTGTAGAACAGTATGTAAAGTAATTTGAGTGACTGTATTCCAGTAGCACCTTAATTTTAAAAAACTGGACAAAATTTAGGTCCAAGGGTTGGTTTCGTAGATTTCTTGTTTCAGTTTTTCAGTAAGCAACAAAGAAGAGTTGTTCCATTTTATTGTTAACCAGTGGCACCACATCTTGATATGCTTACCACTTGTATTTATCCTGAGTCAGAGATAATACAAAAATAATTTCTTGTTTTGAGTGGGAAGGTTGAAACCCCACCCCCACCCCCTTTAACTGATAGGGAATTTTACCAACAGAATTCTCTTTTCTGTAATTAATATTTGTTCACATAATCATATTCCTTTGTGCTTTTTGTAATTTTAAATTCAGAAACTATAAGTTAAAATGGGAAGGATATCCTTTCTGGTACCATTCTCCTGTCTTTGCAATAAAAAATTTGGGTGTTTGGTGGTGGTTTTTTAAAAAATTCAGATTTTTAACTTGTACTTCCTTCTTTCCACCCCACCTGTAAAGATAAAGAACTGCATAGAATATGAGTATTGATTATAAGTTGGAATGATTGTTCACAGCCACCAAGGTTTTAGACTATCTGTTACCCCTCTTCCAAAACACCTAGTTTTTTAGCTTGTTCACAGCTATCAATCAAGGTTTTGGACTTTTCTGTTCTCCATGTTTAATGGGACGTATAAGTGATGAGGGTATAGATACAATGACTCATGAAAAGTCAATGTATGCACTGCTGGAGTGATAATGCTGATAGCATTCATTTTCTACCTGTGACTGTGAGCTATCTCCAGATGAGAAAAGAAGCTCAAAGATGTGTCTTGAGTGGCTACCTTAGAGGACTTCCTCAAAGTTCTGTACTACATTTTTCTCACTGTTTGAAACTCAGCCGTATCTAAAAGGTAGACTAGGAAATATAGACCTTAATCTTAGTCTTGTCATCCCATAAGAGATCAGGATTGTTAGATAATAAGAACAACAACAAGGATACTCATTGGATATTGGGTGGAAAGCATATACATTCCTGACATATTTCCTAAACAAAAATCTACCAAACCACTACTTTTCAAGCTTTAAGTATAAACTGTATTTGACCATGTAATTTTAAGTGGATGTTTTTAAGGAGTTCCAGGTTTGTAATTGTTTATGTATGAAGTTAGAATGGAACTTGAATTACTTTCTCAGTTTCCTATTTAGAATCTTTGAAAGGGGCATGTTAATCTAGAAAAGGAATTTATGTTTTTATTTTCTTTTTAAAAATTTGATACATTTCCATTTTGGTGTAATACTATGATATTGTAGCAAGGAACAATCTGAACTTGATCAAGATTTGGATGATGTTGAAGAAGTAGAAGAAGAAGAAACTGGTGAAGAAACAAAAATCAAAGGTATTACTTTAAATTACTTAGGAACCATTGATTGCTACAGATGTCCTCTGGAAGATGTACCATTCTTTTTGCATCCTTTTCCACTTTATTCACTGATCCCTACATCAGGTTCAGTAAGAGAGAGGTGGGGTGGGTATGTTTAATGGGACGTATAAGTGATGAGGGTATAGATACAATGACTCATGAAAAGTCAATGTATGCACTGCTGGAGTGATAATGCATGTCTGTGCCAAAAGTTGCTCATGAGTTTTGTCTTAATTTTAAAATGCCACACTTGATGGTTTTGATTGCTTTTGATGATACATCTAAACAAAAGAAAATATAGTTGGAGAGTATATTTAGTATATATTGTGTAGTCAATGTGATCAGTCTTCTGATCAACTCCTTCAGTAAAAAAAAAAAAAAAATTCAAAATTCATTTAAGCAGATAATTGTAAAGGAGGAGTGCTCGTGGTACTGGTACAAGGCAAGTTACACAGATTTAGGTGATGCTCTGTGAAAATCAGGGCCAGGAATATTAAGGTACCCAATTATTTGATTTTTCATTTCTAAACCAGTTGGGGATAATTATGAAGAAGACATTTAAACTTTGGTTTTAAGTTTGATCTTGCTGCATTTTCTTGAAAGATGAAATACTGTGTCCTCAGTGTTCAGTTGTGCTGTATCTAAATTCTAGTACATCATCTAGAAATTAAGTTAGTATTAGAAATAAATTGACTGAAAAGCATAACTTGGGAAAAGGAATGCTATTTTGTATGAAAACTTGGTGAAGATGGTAGTAACATTTTGTTTTGCATAAACCTTGTTTGTATTTGAATTTGCTGTAATTTTTGGAAGCCATTAATCATTAAGTTTTATATGGCTTCAGTTAAAGTTTTGTGCTTTGTTGGAGTAATTTTGTTTTTCACTATCTTAGTTGTTAGCTTTCTCCATTCGTTTACATACAAATACACTACACAGTTAACAAACATGGGCCCATTCATTCTTCCATCATTCTCCAGGCTTAAAATGTCATGTAATTCCATTTTCCTGTTATGCTTCTAGAGTGTTAAGAGTCTCTTGTAGTATTGAACTTATCCAAATACAAGGTGGGTGAAACACAAATATTGGCAAAAGAATGGAGATTGTCATAGGATGTGGATGTGATCCCGAGAAATGGTGTGCATTAGAGTTTAGGAATCACCTTTTCCTGATCATTGGATTGTGTCCTAGAAAATGTTCGTTTTCTTAAGCTTGCTACAGCCCATCTCGACCAGTGATGTGTAGGCCAATCAGGAAAACATCATGATTAGATTGTTCTATTAAAATAACTTATTTTTATAAAATCCTCTTGATGCCCCCCCCTTTTTTTTTTAAGCACGGCAGCTTACTGTTCAGATGATGCAAAATCCTCAGATTCTTGCAGCCCTTCAAGAGAGACTTGATGGTCTGGTAGACACACCAACAGGATACATTGAAAGGTACAAGTTCTTCTTTTCCATTGCACCTTAACTCATCTCTCCAGTCACCATCAGAGGTGTTTCTCTTTTTTTTTAAGGACTTGGATAGTAGTGGGACAATAATAGCTGTATCTAATTTTAGGATTACTGGGAATGTATGACGTGGCTAAGTACCACCAATTTAGAGTTAGTCTTAATGTTGGTTTTAGTCCATAGGAAAAATCATGATCTTAATCATGTCAGAGACTTATTTAAAGGATTATTAGACCAAGTGCACAGAACTAAATATGTCAGTGATATCCCGAGTATCTTAATCTGCTTGCATATGGTTTTATTTGTTTTGTTTTACTTTTCTCTCATTTTAAGATCACCCACATTACAGTCTGTTCAGTCTGTAGCTTACAACTGCTACATAGTTGTCCTTGGTGTGTACTCACCATGGTTTTTTATCTGCAATGTTACCTGCCTAAATTTTTTTTCAACCTCCATCATCACAGCTTCCATTTGTAGACCATATCCTTTTAAGAATTTGTAAGAATTTCTTTGCGATAAGTACTTAGCTCTTGAATTGTTAGTAGCCTTAAGTTCTCCAGAATGGTTCTGTTCGGTGCATCCTTCAACTTGGTGTTCCTGCCAACTATTTTTGTCATCCAACTTTGTAATTTACCTGTCTCCTGTAAGGTGTAGACTCGCTTTGTTTATTAGTGTTTTCTGATTCTCAGTGTTTTTGAGTGTCTCTTCATATTACATGTGAGCCCTTTGCCATTTTCCTTTTGAGATTATTGGATATTCTAGATTTGTGTCATTGTGGATAACCTTATCATCTAATGATATGTTAATAATCTGTCATATCTATAAACTTTGTCCATAGCATCATCAGTTAAGCAGAGATCTTTAAGTGTCTGTTTAAGATCCTCCTCCCCTTGCCTATTCCTTAAGATTATGCTTTTGAAGTTACTTCAGAAATCCTTGTTCCTTACATAAGTTTTGCTGTATGGTTTTACCTTTCACATCGGTCTTTAATTGCATCAACCACCTTTATATTAAACTTGATTCACTAAATTGTTTATTCTTCTCATTTCTTTGTGATACCATCTTCATTATTTATCACACTCTTACAGACACCTACATTTGTGTTTCATGGGTCTTTTTGTCAATACTTTTGACTCAGTCAAAATACATCTTACTGTCTGGCAGGAGAAAATTTTTTTCCTTCTATGGTTGCTTACTTTTAAGGTTAGTCTTACCATTAGAAGTTGTACCAATGATAATAAAGCTTAACTGTTAACAAAAAGGGTTGACGTCTACCCCGAGGTGATAATTCTTCCCCATAATCTTGTTTTTTAAAAATCCAGGGTACACATGAGGGGTTTGCTAAAGTATTTTATTGTAAAATTCTATGATCTCCCTATAGCTTCCTTAAATAATCTTTTTTTATGAAATGACAGTTTTAGTCCTTATCTTCCTCCACAATTTTTTTTAATCTTTTTGTCAATGTGCTCTATGAGGTAACTTGGGTTTGCTGTGATGCTGAAACCTTGTGCCATGGGGATATCAGATAGGGGTTTCCCATTGGGGACGGTGTTTTGTGGAGCTCCCAGTTCTAAAACAGGTTGGGAGCAGGAGTGGCATCCACTTCCTAAACCACATGCCTCTGGAAACTCTGTGAACAACAACATACGTTAACAGTGGGCAAGCTTTTCAATCTTGTGTTAAAGCATGGTAAAGATGTCATCTTTGTAATTTCTAGTCAAATGGGGAGTGAATATAAAAAACTCTGTTTAATTCAGTATACATTTTGATAGTATTTTCTTTTATCCATTCTCTTGGTCTTTCCATTTCCTCTTAGAATGTACTAAATATGTTTTGATACTTTGAACTGCCAATTATTCATTATAGTCACCAGCTGTTAAATCATTGAAAAGACTTCCAGCTTTTAAGGCTCTAACAGTAGGATGCACCTATTTTAATACATCGACAAATTTGACTTAAAGACACACTTGGAAATTGTTCCTATTTTTGTAACATGGGGACATGTATGTTTTGTATAGTGCTGTGTTCACAGGGAGCTTTTCAATATCATGGGCATCTTCTATCATAGAGATTTTATCTGTCCCCACCCCCATAGTTATTTTGAACTTTGAGCTCATGTATATTGGCAGAATATCATTTACTCTGGTAGTGAAAATTGAAGGGGAAGAATGAAGTCAGGCAGTGTTTTGATTTTCTGGTGGGCTTTGGGAAGACATAGTGTCCCTCTGATGTAATTTACCCTAACCAGATTTGAGGGCTCTAGTCAGTCTAGCCTATCATGTTATCCTAAGAACAGTGGTACTGGACTCTTAGAAAAGGTGAAGCAGGCAAGCAATGATTGTCGTGAAGAAAGAGCCCAACTTACAGCTCTCTTCCAATGCTATCACTGCTCTCCACTCAGGCTCTCTCCAACCCAGTATGTAACTCATCCTATACCAGTTATATACAGTCTTTAGTCTTACTTATAAATTACTTTTCGTGTGTGGGGAGTATAAGCTTGTGTAAAAATACATTGCTTTCTTGGGTCTGAAGTTAACTTGAATGGTTGATTCTTTTTTTCACTTTTGGAAAGGGAATGAATGTAAGGGAGACTTAGCTCACAGATCATTAAACTTTTTACTCTGACTTGGTATTTTTAGGGTTGGTTTGTTTTTTAATTTTTTAAATTATTTGTATGTGTGTGTGTGTGTACCATCAAATTGGATCAGATTGGTAAAGGAGGAGATTGCCCTTCTCCAGCAGAGTAGATTTAGATTACTTCTACCAGAGTAGAAATCTGGTAGATTTGAACCACATACTTCTGCGATTATAATGCAGTTTCTTGCCATTCTGCCACCAGAGCTCCCTCTATTTTTAGGGGTTTGTGATTGTTTCTTACAATCTTAACTAAAATAGTAGTTTACTAAGAATTATTTATATGCAAAAACAGCAGAAATTTTCAACCTGTGTTCTAGTTCCCTGAAAGCATATAAATTTTGAGTAGGAACATTATCCTGGGTAGTAATGGGAATCATAATTTTAGTTATTGTTTAGGAAGCTAGTAATTCAGTTGAGGCATTGAAAATCCCTGGCCTATAGGTGAATTCTGGAGTATGAATTGTATCTCAATAGAAGTGCTTTTAAAAAATTTTTCATTTCTCCTTTTATTAAAGAATGTTGTTGTTGTTGTTGTTGTTGTTGTTATGTGCCGTCGAGTCGCCTGCGACTCGTAGTGACCCTATCAAATTAAAATAAAAATAGGAAATAAAATAGAAAATAGTGGTGTAAAATAATGCTCGTTTTCCAAATAGTCAAGTGTTGGTTTTCTTTCTTCTAGTAGTAACTGACAGTGGAGTAAAGAATTTTTTCTATAAATAACATTTTTTTAAAAATTGGGTAATAGCCGTTATTCTCAGACTTAGGAAGATGGCATTCTTCTACATTTGAGATGCCAGTATTGTGAAATCACACTTCATTTCAGTGAAAGATTTAGAGTTGGTGATTTAAATATACATAATGCTTCCATTTCAGTATGATAAAAGAATTGTGACTAGTTTTCACCATGGTGGTATGTAACCAGTGCTTTCCAACCTTTCAGTTTGCCTAAGGTAGTTAAAAGACGAGTGAATGCCCTTAAAAACCTTCAAGTTAAATGTGCACAAATAGAAGCCAAATTCTATGAGGAAGTTCATGATCTTGAAAGAAAATATGCTGTTCTCTATCAACCTCTATTTGATAAGGTAATGTTTTTTATTATCTTACCTTATTTTCTAAGATTCTGGAAGACCATAAAACTCTGAAAATAAATATTTGCATACTTTACCTAAAATAGAAAAATTCATGAACTTGGTTAATATTTAGGCCTGCCATTGATATAGTTGTTTCTAGGGATAATTGTGAACATTCAGTAATGCCACTTGAAGTTGTACTGCTCATAAGGTTTGTTTAATTAGTCCAAGTACCAGTATTTTCACACATCCTTTAAAAATCATTTTAGCGCTTTGAGATCATCAATGCAATTTATGAACCCACAGAAGAAGAATGTGAATGGAAACCAGATGAAGAGGATGAAATTTCGGTTAGTATCAATTTAATGACTTTGGTGATTTTTAGCTGATAAAACATTTTAAATTATTGTTAGCATTTGATGGTGCAATATAATGTTCTTTAGTAATTTTATACCTTGGAAATGTATTTATTGTAATATGAATAATGAATGCAGCTGAGTAGTTGTTCACACTTTGACCCCTTATATCTAAGCTTATTTTTTTTAATTATAATTTAAATAAGGTTTTTTTGTTTGTAGCTTCATGATGATAAGGAATTATGCCTGTTTTCAGGTGAAGAATAAGACTTATAGTTAAGTGTCTTGCCCATAAATAAATTACATACCTTTGCTTTATTACACATGTAAAGAGACTATACATTTAATACAGAGAATTGAGGCATTGGATGGTTGACATTCCCGGCCCCCCTCAGGCCCCCCTCATTTACTATGCTTGAAAGCTTGCTTTCTTAGGACGTTTTCCCTTTTTCTTCTGAAGCCATTCTTTCCCTACAGCTGTAGATCCTAGGAACACTTGTTAGAGTTCATCATAACAGGTTTGATGAAAGTTACAGTAGTCTTTGCATAATTAGGTTATAATTTTCATAAATGAAAATTAAAATTGATGAGTATAAATTTGTTGGTAAGAGTGGTGTGCAACTATTTTACCCAGTGGGTCTAAAACCGTTAATAATGCATATTGTTACTTATTAAGGAGGAGCTGAAAGAAAAGGCAAAGGTTGAAGATGAGAAAAAGGATGAAGAAAAAGAAGACCCCAAAGGAATTCCCGAGTTTTGGTTGACTGTGTTTAAGAATGTTGACTTGCTCAGTGATATGGTTCAGGTAATTCATAAAAGCACCAATTTATCTCCTGTAGTAAACTTTTGAAACCTAAAACATCTATGACTACTAGTTTCTTTAATGGTTGTCAGCTTTAATTCTTTTGAAATAGGTAATACTTGTAGGGAGGAAAACTTTTATTACTTGGGTTAATGTAGTCAGATACGCTTAAGTACTTTGTCATATTTGTATGTCTCTACATTGTAAGACCAGGCAGGATGGAGGAGGAAATCATGCCTGTCACTTCCCGCCTCCCCAAAGAATTTTCCATTCTGAAATACACTTTCTTGTTTTGCATATTAAAAGGACACTATAAAGATCCATCATAAATACTACTTTTTTTCTAAGAATCACAAATGTCACCTGCCTTTTTTAGTTCAAAGCGTTCCTTAATTTACTTACCTTACACAGGGAAATTATTTCAATATAATGACTGCCTATTATATTACCACTTTCATAAAGTGGAAAGTGACCAGCCAGAGGGAAAAATAAGAAACAGATGGAAAAATCATCAGTTATCATCAGGAAATGTCTCAAAAACAAAACCTGTCTTGATTGTGCATTCTTCAGCACATTCATTATATATAATAATGCATTTTTCCATTTTATCACTTTTTCTTAGCAGTAGTATTAGTATAAAATAAGCAAACAAAAAGTCAACTTCAATATAAACTAACCTGAAAAATCATCTTAAGGTTTTAATTGTCATATAAAATTATACTGTAAAAAGTATAACATCTCAGTTAATTGAGGTAGTGTTTAATTTTTCTCTTTGAAGGAACATGATGAGCCTATTCTGAAGCACTTGAAAGATATTAAAGTGAAATTCTCGGATGCTGGCCAGCCAATGGTAAAATAATTGTGAGATTTTGCCTGTTTTGTAACATTAGGTACTTACTATTATAAAAAAACAGATGATTTTAAAGACAGTGGGAGGAAATGAAAAGTGATAGTGTTATTTTTAAATTGGTGGTAAGTAAATGTTTGGATATTGGTAATTGGAATGCAGTGTTACTCCATTTCTTTTTCTTCAGAACATAAACTATTTCCAGATTGGCTAATTATTGTCCTAATTATTTAAAGGCAGCAATACTTTATTAAAAGACTTGTTTATGAATTAGTAAACAGAACTGTTATAGAATCCATATTTCCCTCTTTGAGCTAATAATTGCATATATATCATCTTAGACCTCCTTATATCCTGTCTATGCTACTGTATACTGTAGATGATGAAAACAAATTGAATGTAGCAACATTATGATTTTTTTACCCCACCCCCCCCGTCATTTCAGATTCTACTGTAATACTTAGGAAATTCTTACATGATTAGTACCTGCTTGGCAGGGGGCGAGGATGGGAGTTGGTTAGTTTATTTAAGTGTGCCTAGATACTGATAGAGGCCGTGGTCTTTGCAATCACTTGTTATGCATCAGAGAGTTGGACAATGACTAGGGAGGACAGAAGGAGAATTGATACCTTTGAGCTGTGGTGCTGGAGAAGAGTATTGAATGTACCATGGACTGCCAATAAAACAAACAGATTCATCCTAGAGAGGGTTAAACCAGGCTACTCCTTGGAGGCAAAGATTCTGGGGCTTCGTCTGACATACTTTGGACATGTTGCAAGGAGAGACAGGTCTTTAGAGAGGGACATCATGCTGGGTAGAGTGGAGGGACAGCGCAGGAGGGGAAGACCCTCTATGAGGTGGATTGATTCAGTGACTGGGGTAATCGGGATGGGTGTGTCAGAGACAGTGTGATTGGCACAGGATAGAGGAGGAGGGTTTAGGGCTGTTGTACATAGGGTCGCTATGAGTCACAAACGACTCCATGGCACATAACAACAACAGCTTACTGTTTGAGTAATAAATACAACTTTATGAAAGTTTGAGGTTTACTTTCTGACCTCACCTAGTTAATTTGCAAAATTATACTTCAGAGTAGAAATAATCTGAACATTTGATACATATTTATAAAAATAAGTTTTGTTTTTAGTAAAAAATTAAAATTAACAGATGACTTTTTTTTTAAGAGTTTTGTCTTGGAATTTCACTTTGACGCCAATGAATATTTCACAAATGAAGTATTGACAAAGACATACAGGATGAGGTCTGAACCAGATGATTCTGACCCCTTTTCTTTTGATGGACCAGAAATTATGGGCTGTACAGGGTGAGTTTAATTTTATTTCAACAGAAGTACTAACTCGTTGGTATGCTTGGTATTAACTAGTCTCCTGTGCTCTTCCTACATAATACATGACTCAGCATTTTAGTAAAATAGTTTGAGAAGAGCTTACCCCCATTTCCATAGAATTTACTTTGGTTGTTAAAGAATATTTAAATTTTTCATAATGTGACTAATACTGTGAATATTTCTTTATGACTAATTTTATGAAAAGAAAATTTCTCTACTAAACTGCTACTGAAAGTATTTGAACCAGTTTTCCTTGAGTTTTGATTTTTAGAAACATTTCATTCTAAAAATTAGTATATTATCATGGAAACCTGCTCTCATACTTTGTTTTGTAAGGTGCCAGATAGATTGGAAAAAAGGAAAGAATGTCACGTTGAAAACTATTAAGAAGAAGCAGAAACATAAGGGACGTGGAACAGTTCGTACTGTGACTAAAACCGTTTCCAATGACTCTTTCTTTAATTTTTTTGCCCCTCCTGAAGGTAAATAAAATAATGATTAATTCGGGTGTTGATGGCTGTTTAATAGTAAGCTCTGTCTAGTTGTACTTAATTCATAAAGTTTCTTTTTTCAATTTTACAGTTCCTGAAAGTGGAGATTTGGTAAGTTGACTTGTTTCTTTTAAATTCTTTACTATATTTGAAATTAAAGCACTGGTTCTTGAGAGTGAAATGGTTGTTGCAAGTACTTTGTTTTTGTGTGTGTGTGTGTCTTTCAGTGCAGTGGGAGGTAGCACTTGATAGATCTGAAAACATGTTCTCAAAAGGGTAATAGTGCTTCCTCTTCTGATACTTGTAAATCTTTGTGTGAAGGATATAACTTTTAACTGCTAACTGAAAGGTCAGAAGTCTGAACCTAGTATCTGCCCTGTGGGATAAAGATGGACAGTCTCCTGGGAAGATTTATAGCCCCAGAAACCAAGTGGAAGATTAATGTAAATCTGCATTGGGTTTATGGTGAAATATGCTATTTATATTATCAAACTTGTTTCTGTATTCTAGTTTGATTAACTTGTTCTGTTTCTCTAATAAAATTATGAATGTCAGAACCCTTTCTGTGAAATGACAACAAAATCGTGAAATTGAATGTTTTCTTTCTTTTGAGAAACCCCCAGAATCGCATGTTAAATGTAATAAGAAACTTGTAAAATTTCATGCTTTTGCTTTTTCTAAATAGGATGATGATGCTGAAGCTATCCTTGCTGCAGACTTTGAAATTGGTCACTTTTTACGTGAGCGTGTAATTCCAAGATCAGTGTTATACTTTACTGGAGAAGCCATAGAAGATGATGATGATGATGTGAGTGAAACTGGTAGTGACTGGAATTGGGGAGACGTTGAGTGAATAGGTACACTACTTAAAAAGCAAAACAGGATAATTTAAAATTATTATATAGGATTTCCTATATATACCGTTGCTGATATAATTATAGTTAGGTTCCTTTCAAATCTGCATAATAAAGTTAAACTATAATATGTGGGCTAGTATTTTAAATGATGATGATGATAATTATGCTCTTGCTTTTGACCATATAAACAAACTATGGAAATTTAGTATTTTAGTTAACATTAAAGGCTATTAGCTAGTGAAATGACTATGTAAAGGTGGGTACCTGTCAACATTTTACACGTCTTTTAAACCTTGAGTTGCTATAAACAAGGATGCTTTAGGAAGATTAAATGATCCAGGAAGTATTAAAAGAAGATGGAAAGAATATACTGAGTCACTGTATCAAAGGAATTGGCAGACACAGAAGAATTTCATGAAACAACATATGAGTAAGAGCCTATGGTGATGAAGGAAGAAGTTCAGGCTGCTTTGAAGGAAATAGCAAAAAATAAGGCCCCAGGAATAGATGGTCTACCAATTGACATATTTCAGCTAACAGATGCTGCCCTGGACATGCTCACCAAGTTGTGCCAAGAAATCTGGAGAACAACCACTTAGCCAACTGACTGGAAGAGATCTATATTTGTTCTATCCCAAAGAAGGGTGACCCCAACAGAGTGTGGAAACTATAGAACATATCATTGATTTCACATGCAAGCAAGATTCTACTGAAGATTATCCAAAAACAACTGGAACAGCACATCAGCAGAGAACTGCCAGAAGTCCAGGCTGGGTTTAGAAGGGGTCGTGGTACTAGGGATATTGTTGCTGATGTTAGATGGATCTTGGCTGAAAGCAGGGAATACCAGAGGAATGTGTATCTGTGTTTCATTGATTATGCAAAGGCATTTGACTGTGTGGATCATAACAAACTGTGGCTGACTTTGAGAAGAATGGGAATCCCAGAGCACTTGATCATGCTAATGTGAAACCTATACTTGGACAAAGAGAGTCGTCAGAACAGAGCAAGGAAGCACCCCCCATGGTTCAAAATTAGGAAGGGCATATGCCAGGGATGCGTCCTGTCTCCATACCTTTTGAACCTGTATGTAGAACAGATTATCTGGGAGGCTGGGCTCTATGAGAAGAAGTGTGGTGTCAGGATTGGTGGAAGATTCATCAACAATCCACGATAGGCAGATGACATATGCTTGCTGAAACTGAGGAGGACCTGAAATGCTTGCTGCAGAGGGTCAAGGACTACAGCTTCCAATATGGATTGGCAGCATCAGGATGGATGGTGAAGAGATTGAGATTGTACACAGCTTTAGTTTGCTTGGCCCCACAGTCAACACTGTTGGCACCAGTAGCCAGGAAATGAAAAGGCGCATTGCCATGGGAAAGTCTGCTGTTAGGGACCTCTCCAAAGTGCTGAAGAGCAATGGTGTCTCT